CGATGCATTCAGCTGCTGAGCCCCAGTGCTGTCAGCATGTGCTAGCTGGATTTTCCTAGAGCGCCCCCAAGTTCACAGCCGTCTCTGACATGGCATCATCTCAGCTGCTCATCGCCTCCACGGTAGCTCTCACTGGGGATGTGAACTCGCTTTCCCAGCACTCACACATGGCCGTCCAGCCAGCTGTGCCATGCAGGGGCTTCTTGCCTGTCCAGAACTGGACGTGCAGGTGGAGATGCTGAAGCAAGACACTCCTCAACCCCTCTGCCTTCCAGTGTTTCTCCATGGATGGCTCAGACCACCCACTAGGGAACCTCAGCAGAGCTGCAGCTTCTGGATCTGGGGGGGCTGGCACCCTGGATGACAGCTTCCCCGAGTGTCTCAGTGGATTCAGAACCTGGTGGAGGGGACACGGAGGGGCTTGGACAGGCGCTGCTGAAGCCCCAAACCACCGTGGACACCACGGGCGCATTTTCTTCCCTCTGCATTTTCTTCAGCTCTGGGACCAGGAGTGCAGCCCGCATCTCTGGGTCACCAACAGGGGCTCTGGGCAGGGGCGGGGGTGGGGTGGGGTGGCCAGTTTCAGCCCTGAGAGAGCACCGCGGAGGAGAGTCACAGCTCACACTGGCCCCCGGGTCGGCAGCGGATGCTCACTTCCAGGCCCAGCCGCTCCCGCTGTCAACCCTCAGACCGGAAGCGAAGTTCTCCTTGAGATCCCAGCAGCTGGCCACAGTGGGCTCTCAAACCGGAAGCGGAAGTGCTGTGAGGGGGATGCCTGGTGGGGGGAGATTGTTCTGCTCTGGGTGGGCAGCCGGGCAGCTGAGGGAGGAGAAGCTGCGCAGCGTCGTCCCTCAGGAAGCCCAGCTGTCACCTCTGAGCACCGGGGCTTGAGGACTCTCTGCAGAGCACAGCACCCTGCCCTCCTGCCTCCCGCTTCAGAAGACCCCCCCAAACTAGACGGCTGCTCTCTTAGGCAAGAAAGGAGGCTCGTCCGTCAGGTAACTCTGAGGCGCTGGGCCAGCCTCACGCTCTCTCAGAACCGGCAATGGCTCCAGTTGTGGTGCTACGAGATGATCACAGGGCAGAGTTGTGTAAGGTGTAAGGCTCCCAGAACTGTCCCTTACCCGGGGTGGGGTGCTTGATGACCAGACACTGTCACCTCACCAGTCTACACACACACACACACACACACACACACACACACACACACACAGAGTCACTCACTCCTGTCCAGATGAACACAACCAGGTACCCATGACTGGTATGGGGTGCTTGATGACCAGACACTGTCACCTCACCAGTCCACACACACACATACACACACACACACACACACACACACACAGAGTCACTCACTCCTGTCCAGATGAACACAACCAGGTACCCATGACCGGTATGGGGTGCTTGATGACCAGACACTGTCACCTCACCAGTCTACACACACACACACACACACACACACACACACACACACACACACACACAGAGTCACTCACTCTTGTCCAGATGAACACAACCAGGTACCCATGACCGGTATGATCCCATTTGTTCATTCACTTGGTCCTTCATAAAGTTGGCTAATCACAAGTTCCTGCTTTGTGGCGGGTGCTGCATGAGGTGGCAAGAGAGAGGACAGAGCGTGAGAGAAACCAAGAAGCTGCCCCAGAGGAGGAGTTTAGGGTTCTGTGGAGAGGAGAAACATGCTCCACTTTGGAGCTTGACTGGGCGGTATCTGTAGCTTCCTGAGGCTGAGTCTTGAGATAATGTGACTCTTCCAAGGTTGGCAAGGAAGTGGTTGAGCTGGGGTTTGAACAGAACCCGAATCTGAGTCTGGTAAGGGAGGACTCTCTCCAAAAGAGAAATCGTTCAGATAACTTATCTGAAGTCAGGATACTGACGTGAACTGACCTTGATCATGAGTTCACAAAACCCATCACAGGTGTTTCCACATTCGATTCACAGAACAGACTCTCACTGAATCGAAATAAATCTCAGTGTGACCAGAGGAGCTTTTACTTTTTCCTTTCAATTTTTATTGAACACAAGTATTCTGACAGAATGCAAAGTCAAAATTCTCAGTTAGTACTCAGTATTTACACCAGTGAGAATGGAAACAAAGGTGGTATTGATGTTTCACTTGGTAAAAAGTTTATAACAAGAGAGAAGGCCCCCGAAGTAGGGAATGCTGGGTAGGGATGTTAATGGAGGTCTAAAAACCACCATCCAGACAGACAGCCTAGAGTGAAAACCCAGGACTTGGAAGGCTCCATAGAAAAGTGTGAAAATAGAGTTCCACTTCAAAAGCTGCACTATATACACTACGGCCCTCAGGACACGGAGGCCCCATGCATGGCACTTGAGTGCCCCCCCCCCCCAGAACGTGGCTATGCCGGTACTTATGTGAATACATATGTATGGCAAGTACACATATAGACACATAGACATTGGAAACTAGTAGAGTTGATCCCTCCTTCCAAAAAATTAAAAAAGGCAAATTCTAAGTTTTAAATCTCAACATAAAAGAACCTTTGGAAAATAAAGTGACTTCCTCTTCAGTTTCGGAGGAAGCATTGCTATTTTTATTTTTAAGAAAGGAAAGTTCACGCATGTGGAGATTGACAAATCTACGTTCAGAGGAGAGGCAGACCAAAATGTGAGCAGTCTTGGGTTCCAGTGAATGGCGGGGCCAAGGTTCTGGTGGGGGTGGTCAGCTGCCCTCGGCCAGGTGTTTAGAGGGTTGAACTATACCTCTTGTTTTCCCCGACTGCAAAACCAGAGTCGGCTTGCCTCTCCGCAGCCATGTGGAGAGACAGTGTCTCTATGAGGTATAGTGCGGGCTTGGTGGTGGTCAAAGCCACTAGCATCACAAGGCGGAAAAAAGTGATTCCGTGGCTGCCAGCCCCACCCCACCCCAGGGGTCCGCTCTAACACCCCACTCACTGCTGTGTGCTCTAAAAGGGGTGTGTGCATTTGAACCTTAGATGTGTGCAAGACCTAGAATCAAAGAGGCCGCAGCTGGGTATACCGGGATCCTCCATTTCCATCCCCAGGAGCTGAGAAAATGCAAAATAACCCCACATTTAGCAAATGACAAGACCGTTATTTTTCACAGTTTGAAATGATAATCTAGCATATCGCCACTGATCAGATTGCAGAAGTGTCAGAACATTGGGGAGTGTGGCCCACGGAACTGAGTCCAGGGCACTTTTGCCACTAACCTCTTGCTGTTTTGTACCTCAGGAAAGGCACGTGTGCCAGAGTACTGTTTCTGTTTCCTTAGCATCTTCTTCATCTTCTTTGTTTAAAGGCTTCAGTTCCTTTTAAGAATTATTTTTTGTTTCCTGAATAATTTTTTTTCTGAACTATCTGCTATACCTTCCACAACCAAACTATGTTGAAGTTTTATTTCAATACTATGACAAAAACACATTTCACACTAAAATATTCACGCATCCACAGTGCACAAGCTTGCAGTTCTAAAGTAGAATGAGGAAAAAAAAAAGCAAAATTTCTATACAAAGGGCTGGCTTTTCCCTTCTCCCCCCTCCCATCCCCCTTAAAGTTTCTGTATTTTTTTTTCCCACTTGGTTTCCAATCCAGGAAAGTTGTATTATGACTCCAGACAGCAGGTTGCTTTCATTATTTTTCTTCTTCTTCTTTCTTTTGTTTCTACAAATGCTGCCTAACTGAACAGAAGGCTGATGTTACTTTACTTCAACAGATTCCCAAAAAAAGACACTAAATCCCTGAAGCCCACATGCTCTTCCGCTCAAATCTAGATTTTTGGGCTTAAAAGGAAATGGTATGTATATATTTTATTTGGCTTTCTACAAAAAGGGGATGTTTGGGGTAAAAATGTGTGTTCACCAAGACCAGCCCCAACTATACAATCTTTTCTGCTTCATTCAACAAAGCCTAAAATGTCCTTCCAGAGGAAGGACAAGAACGCCTGGGGGGGGGGGGGGGGGAGTGTATGTGGGGGAGGGGTGCAGATTCTTTTTTTTTTTTTCCACAGAAATAGGTAGGTGGTAGCTAATTGGAAAGTGGTCTAGACCCCTAGGAAATTAAAAAGAGAAGGAAAGAAAAGGAACCGGAAACCCAAAAGCAAAGTCATTTCAGGACCAGATAGGTTCTCACCTGTGTGTCCCACAGGCAAAAATGTCTAATCGGAATGGGGGAGGGGAAGAGCCGCTGTAAACATCGGAGTTTATAAAGTTGTCCTGCACTCAAGCCAGCCTCTGATGGTCCTACCCGCCTCGAGGCAGTATTTGTAACTTAAAAACCCCAAATCCCCAAACAAAAAAAAAAAAGGCAGCTATTTGACATGGACATTTCACCACAACCGAAGTCAAACATTTGTCAACTGTAAACACTGGAAAACAAAGTTGGCAGAAAGGGGAGGAAAAAAAAAAAAAGAAAAAGAAAGAAAAGGAAAAAATGAAAAGGAACAGAAAAAAGAAAGCAGAATACTGCAAATTTGAGATCTACCCCCACAAGCTGCAATTTGGCATTCTTCCTACAAAACGAGAGTCTATGTGGGAATTGAATTCAGCTAGAAAGGGTGACACACTTTGCATACTGAACAAATACAAAGTGAACAGAAATGATAACTGATCTATGAGGTTTTACAGAGTTCAAACTCGACTGAAAGTATAAAAATAAACGTGGACTTTGTTCATTCGGTTAGTCTTAGTGCCTGGAAGCATTTCTCTGTAACTGGCCTATGCCAACTGGGCACTACCAGCATACTCTTCCTGAACCTAGATTTTTTTTTCTGAGCTTCCTAGATTCTTAATTTGGGGTCCTTTTGTTTGATTTTTAAATGGTTTCAGGGAACGCAGTGTCCTAGTTTGGCTGTGGGTTTAACCTTTTTGTCTCGTTTTCTTACAAGTGAGTGCCTCAACAAAGGAACCCTTTCTATAAACCTACAAAAAGGAGATCCCGTGTTTATCGGTTTCAATTTTGTTTTTAAAGGCAAAAGACACTAGAGGAATGAGATGTGTGTGTGTATGTGTGTGTGTGTGTATGTGCGTGTGCATGTGTGTGTGTATGTGTGTGTGTGTGTGTGCTGGAACATTGGAAATGCTCTGGTGAAGCTGCTGTGTCACTTTGTATTTTGATCTTTGCTGGCTTCTCGTCCCCCATCATGCTTTGCTCTCATTCTCCTTTGTCTGTGTGGCGTCGTTGGGCACCGTCTTCACATCGGCTGGCGCTGGCTTCGTTTCTGTCTCCGGGCACTCCGGCTTTGCTTCTACGGGGCCTTTCCTGTGAAGAATCAGGAAACAGTGCTGAGCCCATGCTCCCTCGGGAGGGGTTCCTGTCATTCTTGTTACCACCGTTCTCCAGCCCTGGCTGTGGTCAGAATCGCCTGGGACCTCAGAATCACTGGGGCCGGGGCTGTACCCCCAGAAAGGCTGATTTAATTGGTTTGGACATGGTGACTTTTAAAGCACCCAAGTGATTCTTAACATACAGCCAAGCTTGTGGGCTCTTGAACCAGAGAAATGCACCCTTTCCTATTCCCCCATCACCCCACTTCAGCCACTCTGGCTTTCTCTGGGGTGGGGGTGGGGAGCCGGAAGCAGCCTCTGCAGTGGTTTGGTTTGGTATAAGTGAGGGGTGAAGGGCTCCCCAGCAGTGATACCAGGGCAGGAGGCCGCTGCCAACTGCCCCAACCTGGGCCGAGTTTCATGTGGCAACTCTATCTGTGACTTTCCTGTGCAGATGGACAAAAGCTCTTTGTCACCGAGGCAGTTTTCCCTGGAGTCTAGGGGGTGGCTAGCAGTGGCTGCCATGCTTCAGGCAGGGAGCAGTTCAGGGGACTGGGGCTTTGTCTGGGGGTAGCTATCAGAACCAGCGCTTTCTGAGTAGGAGTAGCCTTGGGACCTCTATAAACCTAGGTCAGATTCTGCTCCGGTTGGTCCCAGGCATGAGTGTGACCCGAGGACCCAGCGGGAGCAGCACCCACCCTGATCCTAGCTGATATCACCACATTTCAGAGCTCTGCCAGCTTAAGTTCCTTCCCTTGGATTTCAGAGACCCAGTGGGCATTTGTGTTTCATACTTCAGGACTTCTGAGTGTCACTGGGGTGAGGGGCAGCATGAGACGGTGGGGATGTGTCTGGGGCTCTGGGTGTGAGTGTGATGGGGACCCCAGACCAGACTCTCTCCACGCAGGTGCCGCAGAGCCTGTCTCATCCTTCTGCTTAATAGAGTGTTGGTGAGGACCTGGTCCAGACGGGAGTTCCCCCTCCTCCCCCACCAATATCCTACGCCCCAGGAGGGCCCATGAGGCACCTTGACTTTCTGAGCTTCTTCCCAAGCTATGCTCGTCCAGCCCAACTACGCCTTCCCCTGGCGCCGCCCCCCCCCACCTCCCATTGCTAAAACAGGAGTATGGCCTAATGGGCAGGTGGGTGGCTGATGCCTGGGCCCGCTGCCCACCCCTGAGTGGACAGAGAAGGCCCGGATGAGGCTGAAGAGACATCTAATGAGGAGGACACAGCACCGCACAAACGCACACCACCACGGGACACAACCCAACGACAGCAGACAAAGAGAGGCCGTACTCGGTCTTGGCTGGTGCAGGCGGAACAGAGCTGTCTGCAGTGGAAGGAGCAAGCTCAGGGGCTTGTCCACTGGCCCCAGCGGCGGGAGCAGGAGAGCCCAGGGCTGCAAAAACATCCTTTGCAAGGTCAATATCAGGGGTCTTGAAGTTCCCTTCGTCCATTTTAAAGTCCTCGCCCTGGGCAGGGTTTGTGGCGTTGACGGAGGCGCCCTCGCTCTTCGGGCTAGAGAGGCCCGTGGCGGCCTCGGCCGGGCTCTTCACGGCTCCGGACGGGGTGGGCTCGGGGTCCGGGCCTTTGGTGCTGGGAGCCTCCTGCTTGGCCGGGGGGGTTTCTGGGGCAGGGGCAGCCGCCGCTGCTAGGGGACTGGCTGTCCCGGCCGAGGTAGGGCCTGGCGCAGGGGCTGGCTTGCTGGCCGGAGGGGCCTTGGAAGCCTCCCCGACGCTGGCAGGGGCGCTGGGGCTGAGTACAGCCCCCTGGTTAGCCAGGACGCTAGAAGACAAATTGCTGGCAGCGGGGGTTGAAGTCGGGGTGTCACTCAGGTCGACAAGCGGGGCCACCTTGGGGGCTGAGGCTGGGGATGGGGCAGAGGTGACAGCGCCGGGCCCCTTGGAAGGGGAGACCTGGCCGGCGGGCACAGAGTTTGAGTCAGGGGTGGCATTGGCTGGGGGGGCAATACTGGAGGTCAGGGTGGTGGTCTCACTGGTAGGGCTGTTCTGAGCAGTGGCAAAGGTTTCGGTGATAGTGTCAGAGTTAGCGGTGACGGTGGTGACAGAAGGCAGCATGTCCTCGACAGTGGCTGTGGTGTCGGCAGGCAGCCTGTGGGGAGGACAGGAAGTAGAAGAGAACAGACAATGAAGCTGAGACGAGACAGAAGCAGGGGGAGAAAGGGCTGAAGCCAGGAGGGGCCATCATGGGCATGGCATGCGGTTCGGGACAGGCGCCCACACAGGCCCACAGAGAAAGGAGGAAGCACACGCCCAGGCGGGCAGAAGAGGAGAGAGTTGACGACAAAGAACGTGGCAGTCTCACGAGGGGCCAGTGAGCCCGTCTTCCCCACTCGCTTCCCTCCAGCTGTCTGCACTGGGTTGGTTCGTCCGGCCCTGCCTGGGCTTCCAGATCCCTGTCTGAATCTCAGTGACCAGTGGTCCAGGCGGCCCCTGTCCCCGAGCTCTGGGTCTCAGGCCTTTCAGCCTCCACAGCGGGAAACCGTCAGGAGCCAGCAGGTCATGAGGGCACCACACGAGCCCTCATAGCCCCTCACAGGCTTTGTGTTTCATCACACTGACTCTCCATGGCACCCACGATGGCCCGGTGGCCATCACCACCACAGCTAAACAGTTTCTGATGAGGGTCTCCCAGTTGCCCAAGATCAGGACTGGGTTGCTTTTCCAGGTCCTCTACTTCCTTTACTCTTTGGGGAAGAATGCAGAAAAAAACCCTAATTCTTGGGAATCCTAAGGAGCATTGACTAACTCAGCCTCTCAAAACCCAGCCTCTGTCATCAGAGAAGTGTCACCTCTTTAAGTCATTTCTGGATGTGTGTGTAACTTGGGAATAGGGTCTAGATGTCACTGATGCAAGGAGGTGACCCACGCGTCACAGGACCCCCAAGTGATCTCTTCCCTAGTGACTTCTGATCCAACTGGCTCTTCCGGCCCTGGGCTGCAGACTTCCAGCCAGCAAGGTGTGGTGGGGAGCTGCGGGTGGGAAGCATGGGGTGACAGGGTGGGGTGGGGGCTCAGCCCCTCCCAGCCCACATACTCGGGCTCTGTCAGCGGCGTGGTCTCGTTGGGCTCCGCGTGCTTCCCTCCGTCGTGGTTGGGGGGCCGTTCCTCTTCAGTCCTCACCTCCACAATGGGCTCCTTGGACTCGTCTTTCCTGTGGAGACAGTTCTGCTGGTTTGACTCTGGGGTCTTTTTTGGCAGGGGTGTGTTGGAGGGGGCTCCCAGTGAAGTCAGGGCACCAGTCATAACCGGACTTCCACCCTGACTTTTTCGAGCCTGGTGACCTTGAACTCTGATTTGTTTGCCCTGGTCCCCATCTCTTTACTTGTAAAATAGGGCAAACAGTAGATTCTGCCAGCCTCACTGTTGAGAACATGAGCTAAGACGATGAATGAAGGGCTGAACTGAGGTGTTTACTGACACCTAAGTGTGGACATATGTTTGGATGAGCATAACATGCATGCACAGGGATATACTGCATCAGGCTTGAGATGTGTTTAGCCACTTCCTTCCTTATTCTGACTCACTACCACCTAGTAACCGTCTGTGAAGGCCCCTGCTCAGTATCTCCTTCGCTAGAGATGCCGGAGGAGAGACTGCTTAGACCTGAGCTCTGTTCTGACAGGGATTTTTAATGGGTAGTATGGGGGCAGGCATGGCTATTCCCCAGTGCCTGAAAAATAATGCCTTTCCCATAGTAGCTGCTCAATAAACACCCATGGCACATTTTGTGAGTCAACAGATGAAAGCAAGGCAGCAAGGCAAATGTGTCTCTCAGATTCTGGTCTCTTCAACGTACTCTTTCAAGGCTCAGTGCTGACTATTCTCCTAATTTTTAACCTGGACAGGGATTTTCAGATTTGGGTGAGATTCTGTTAGATCAGATGTGTGTGGGGTCAGGCCTTCGAGTTTTTTCTTTATACAGGCACCTGATCTGATCTTGTTGGGGGAGAAAAGGGCTTGTAAATTGTGCTCAGAATGCCTGGGGGCACTTCCTGGTGACTCTGGAGCAACCAGGATGCATTGCTGTTTGGGTCCACGGTACCAGGGACTATCCAGGACACTCTGGTGGTGCTTCCAGAGCCTCCAGAGCCACTTGTGACAGTGCTCAGGGGCCCATGTAGTGCTGGGATGGAACCAGGATCAGCTTCATGCAAGGCCTTCATTCACCTCAGTTCCGATTTCTCCAGCCCAGGTTCTGAGAGACATTTCTCAAGGGCTCCGTTCCCCACTCTCAGGGTTGTCACATAGAGAAACTGAGGCAACTCTGGTCTTGCCCCTGCTCCCGCCCGGCCCTCCCCTACCTCAGTATAGCGAAAAGCCAAGGGCCACACTCACGAGAAGGCGGCTTTGCCCTCCTCCATGTCTTTGCCCTTGGCTCCGGGCCCGGCCTTCCCACACAGGTTGACTGCGATGCACATGAGCAGGCCGCACTTGTTCAGGAAGTAGCAGGTGATGTCCACCACCACCAGGAGCAGCACGAAGATGACGATGAGGATGCCCACGATGGCCCCGGTGCTCAGGCCTGCTGTGGGGCTGCCATTGGCTTCAGCAAGAAGGAGAGAGAGATGGCTGCGGGTTACTACACTGAGAGACCCCCCGCCCTGCAGAGCAAAAGCCTGGGATGCCCGTCCCCACCCCCCACCCCATCCTCGCACCTGTGTCCACACCAGCATCTTACCTAGCGCCTTACTCTGCCCAGGGGTTGAGACAACTGGGTCTCTATAACTTTGATGGATGCCAGTACCATGTCAGACTGGGGGGCAGGGTCACAAGGTCCACCCCCCCATCAACTCAGCCTCAAAGTGGGGGCTGGGAGTCAGGTCTTTCCCCCAACTTTTGAGCAGCCCCCAAACTCACACTTAGCTAGTTGGTCTCCCTCAGAACTTCTGGGAACAATAGGGATCCAAATGGGGTGCCAGAAGGTCCCCAGCATCTCTCTTGGGTTTGTTCTGAGACCCAGACATAGGAGGATGCCCACACATTAGTCCCTTCGCCCTCCTGAGGAACAGCCCCAGAGGAACCCCATAAGTGGCCCACATTGGCGTCAAGGTTTGCCCCTGAACCCAGGAAGATGAATAAATCCATTCACATTGGAGAGCCGGAGGCCGCCCCAGGCCCGGTGGGCCAGGCCACAGGCTGGGGATACTCACCGTCAGGAGCTGAACATGCCGGACTCGTGCTCCAGGAACACCAGCAGATGCACCCAAAGATGGACACCCAGGGCGGGGGGAGTACTCACACGCAGGACAAACAAACGCCCAGCACACCTGGACACCATCCTCACGCATTCGGTCCCTGTCCCGCTCTACCCGAGCTCCCGGGGGTGGGCTCGGCCCCCAGCCCTTGGGAAGTGGAAGGAGCCTGGCTCAGCTCTCTGGGACCCTCATGACTGAGACCAGTGGCCTGCGGCGGACCCTACTGACCAGTGGGTGATTCGCCTCTATGTCTGAGTGATGAGAAGTCACACGGTGAGAAGCAAGAACCCAGCCAGGCTTTGCCTCTAAGATTGTGATCAGTGAAACGGAACTGAAAGAAGGGTACTTGTGAGTCATTTTTCTTCTGGAAGGATGTGGCTCCAGCACTTGCCACTGCTTCCCCCCTGTCCCCCTCCTGTCACCCCCGATTCTTGTCTGGAGCTTCCTGTGTCCACAAGGATTCACTGGCACCCCCAGTGTGCCGATGGGCAATAGGAACTGGGGGGTCTCACTATGCTTGGCTGAGTACCAGGACAGGTCAGGCCAGAGAAAGGAAGAAATGTGGGCAAAGGAAGTCCAGTAGCCAGTTGCACATCTGCCTCTCTTCATGCCTTCTGTGGTCCTGCACCCCTCTTTGTCTGCCTCAGGGGTCCCTGCTTGGGATTCCCAGAGTGTCACCAGCTCTAACCCTTGCGTCCTCATTGTAAACAGCATTCCAGAGAAAGGACCACCCAAGACTTCATTCCTAGCTTCCCCAATCCTGGGTGCGGCGGGGGCTGTGCTGGGGTAGGCTTCTGTCCAGAAATATTTCAATCCCCTCGTGGGATCTGAGTCTCGGCCCCCATAGCCTCTCCTCCTCAGGCATGTCCCTGCCATCCCCGCACTGACGCTCCACCTGGCCCTCAGGAAGGACCCGATATGTACAGACACGGTGCCAGGACAATCCCTCTCTGGTCCCCTTGTTAGTGGGAACCTGCCATATGGTCAGTCAGCCCGGTCATTTCCACAGCAGCTCACAAGAACAGAACAGAACAAAACATCCACCTGACCACCCCCCAAAAAAATAGTCAAGAAAGAAACGCAAGCCTTATCATCTGTGCCAACAGCCTCTTCCCAGGCAGGGAAAACATTTCATTCCGCCGTGGACAATTCTCTCCATCCCCTGCCTCGGGAAGTCACAGCCTTCTCCTGCGAACGTCCCAACGGGTGCTAAGTGCCAACATCCTGGAGAAGGAGCCTAAAGTAACTTGGGGGTGGGGTGGGGTGGGTGGGGAGCATGTCTGCTCGTGGACTCAGTGGCACTAGCTGTCGATTCTGAGGTGTGTCTGGAAGGGCAGCTTTGTGGAATTAATCATCTCTCTCCAGAGGAAGAATAACTTTGTGGAATTAATCATCTCTTTCCAGAGGAAGAATAACTGTGGAATTAATCATCTCTCTCCAGAGGAAGAATAACTTGGGAAGAGGCTTTGGGTGTGTGTGAGAGAATAGGTATCCTCAGTAAGCGGGGGTCCCCCAGAGCCAGCTGGGAGTGGAGGACGCACCAATTCTGAATTCCCAAGAGCACGTGCAGGACAGGAGGACACAGGGAATTCCTGACCGACTTGGGTCATCGATGCTCCTATTTGAGCCCCTCTTCCTGTACCCTACTCCCCCCACCCCCAGGGACCAGCCTGCAGGGCCTTCCCTCTGCACTGACAATCGCCCTTCCCTCTCCACCCAAGGCACCTCGCTAGTGTCACTAGTGTCATGTCTGGGACAGTTCTGGGTGCCCCTCCCTTTGCAGGACAGAGTGTAAATGTCAGCTTCTCAGAGCACCTGTCCTCCACACTCTTCTCTGTTGTGGTGCCACTCCCTGATGGGCCACGTCACCCATTTTATTCTTTATTATCTGCTTTCTGTTTGTTTCATTTACATGCTCTTGAATCTGGCTGGCCTCTCCCTGGAACGGCGGAGCAGCCTTTGCCTCACGTCTCCCCAGCATCTAGGATGACCTGATTCAAAGGAAAGAGTCAAAGACTATTTGCTGCACCAACAGGGATGTGCTTAGCCAGGAGAGGTGCCCGCTGTGGACACAGAGAGGGAAGAAGTGGTCTTGGTCTCGACAGCGCCCATGCACGGAAGCTCTGGGCACAACAGGCGGATCTTCTCAGCTAGGAGAGATCTTGAAGCAGCAGCTACTAAGACATGGGGGTGAGCTCCTGGAGACAGGGAGCAAATGGCTGCTGGAGGCATTTGGGCAGCGGCTTAGAAGACATGGTATAGAATGAGGCTTAGCAGACATCTTCGAGTCCCAGCCACCAGAGGGGCCTGTCACTCCCCATCTGCTGTCCCACAGTAGCCCACATCTGGCAGAGTTCCTGATGGGCACTCCCCATGGAGGGTATCAAGACGGACATTTTCCTGGAAGACTATGAGCATCTGGGAAGACTATAAGACTATTGTGGGACCATCTGTATGTACAGATTCTTCTGATTTATTTGCACATGAAAACTTAAGTTATCTTTGGATTTCACGTGTTCCCTCCCCCCTGGCCCCTCACCAGATTTCCTAGAACGCTCAGTGAGAAGTTCACGTTCTGGGGCTGGTTCTACTCACCCAGGAGTGGGGCTCAGACATCAGCCTTTGAGTGGGTTTCTGAGGTGACTTTTTTTTGGGGGGTCACACCCAGCAGTGCACAGGGGTTTCTCCTGGCTCATGCACTCAGGAATTACTCCTGGTGGTGCTCGGGAGAGCATATGGGATGCTGGGGATTGAACTCAGGTCAGCCGCGTGCAAGGCAAATGTCCTCCCTGCTGTGCTATTACTCCAGCCCCACTGAGGCGACACTTGACCCAGTTTCTGGAGCTCCTCATGAATGGCAGTGGCTCCAGTGATGGTCAGGATAGAGCTGTGAGTCTCCCCGTGTGGCTTTAAGAAACCTGCTGTACTGGCTGGCTGGAGAGGAAACAAAAGGGGGCGCCTGGTCCCCCCCCCAAGTGTCTACACTCCCAGGGGGTGGGGAGTGAGGGGTTCCTTGGCTGGAGAGAATGTGTGTGGTTTTACAAAAAGAAAAAAGCAGGGGAATTCTAGGACAGCTCTGAGAGGGCCTCCAAGTCCCTCCAAGTCAACATTTATTACTTCCGGGTGGAAGCTAGAGAACAGTTTGGGCCAGGGGACCATGAAGGTCGAGACTTTTCTCCTGCATCTCAAGAACCATTTCACAAGAGGAAAAGGGAACGTCTGTCTGGAGTCTGGACCAGGCTCTTTCCTGGCTATCTTGAATCACACGTTCCATCTGGATGCCTCGCTGGCAAAGAACACTTCTCAGGGCAGTCTTCCCTGAGTCCTGGGTTCACCCTTTCCCCAAAGCTGGGCCTGACTGTCTTCTGTGGCTGCTGGTGCGGGGGTGGGGGTGGGGTGGGTGCTGACCAGGGCTGCCTAGTGCCAAGAAGGACCCTACTCATCTGCTTTCTCAAACGCCTTGAAATGGAAATAAGGCTCTCACCTCTCACTGTCCCAGGTGTAGAGGCCTGAGTCATTGGGCCATGGGAACTAGGTAACAGATGAGTGCCCCCCTCCCCCCTCCAAGTCCCCGCCTCTAAGAAGTGTTGAGCTGGGCTTCACACCGACCCCTCCCATGTCGTTTATGCTTTCTCTGCACTTCAGGCCTTGGCAGGAGGCATTACTAAGTGCCACAGAAGCCATCTGTTTGTCCCAACAGTATCTAGAAGAAGGTCATTCTGTGAGGTCTGGGGAACTGAGTTTTAAACAAAAGTGTGAAATCTGGAGCTCTCGCTACTGGCTTGTGAGTCTGGGGCCAGGGGTGTTCCAGTCCTTAGAGTGACCGGCACTGGATCTACAAGAGCACTTGCCCTGCCAGTTGCCTGCCGGGGAGCAGGGGAGCCCAAGGAGCTGATGGCCCTTCCCCACTCTCCAGACAGAGAAGAGCCCGGGGCTTCTGCTTCAGAGAAGCAGGAGAGAGAGGAGCGAGAACATTTCCGTGAGCTTCAGCGTCACTAAGCTCCCCTTAAGTGTGGGGTGTAGCTTCCTGGCTCTCTGGGTCACCCACATCTTGCAGGTGCACACAAGGCCAGGGAAAGAGAGCCTGAGCCCTCGGCAGGACACCAGACTAGCAAATAAGATCCAGACACGTGGGCGAGTTCACACGAACTGTTATTTCCTTTAATAATGCAAAGGTGTAAACTTTGTCAAGGCCTCGCCGATTATCTACACGACAACGTTAGCATTCTGATTAGTAGAAAAAAAACGATCCAAACCTGCCTTATAAATAGTCCAAAAGTGAGTGGAGAAGCCCTGTTCCACGGGCGGCAGTGACTGACCCCACTCCTGGAGGGGTCTCTAGAGGGTGGCTGGCCTTCCCCAAGAACTTGGGGTCTGGGGCCTCCCCGCTGCCCTCTCCTGAGGGCGGCTTGTTACATTACACACCACTGCCATGCTCCTCCACCTCCTTGGCCCTGGCTGACCCCTGCAGGTGTCCCGTGGGAATCGCTGCCCACCGATGGGCAGCTGTGGGGGCTGGGCCAACCCGGGTGGACATGGGACCTTTCTGCACCCTGGAAGGGCAGCGCCCTCAAAGTGTTTGGGAGCCAAGAGGACAATGCTGTGTCCCTGGCATGAGGATCTGTGTCCCCTTTCTCCAGGCCTCCCATGACTCTCGTAGGTTGATCTGGGAGTTTTGGGTCCCCCTGGCCACTCTGCTTTCAAACTGCACCTGCAGCCCTGCGAGAGTTTGGGGACCCGGGAGCGATGCTCACAGGGCTATGGGGAGGCATTGACTGCCCAGTCCATGGCCTCCAGCATCTGCGTGAGGGGCTCTAAGCTGTGTGTGTGTGTGGGGGGGTCTTTGCTGCACGAGCCCACTGAACAGACAACCCTGTATGCCACAGTGGGGGATTATCTGGATGCTCAAAGGGAAAGGCTTATCTTGGAACATTGAAAAAAAATCACAATGAACTCAAGAGGAAAGAAATCAAAAAGAAACCAAAAACTCAAACTTCTGGGGAGATGCTCAGAGATGAGATATGGAGAATGACAGGTGACCACAAAGGAGACAGGAGCTTTCATTCGGCAGGCGCCCCCCCACCCCCAAGTGCACACGCTGATGTTACCGAGGAGGGGGTCACCACTGGGCTTTCATATGGGATGGACACAACCACATCCCACTTCCTCTCCTGGGCACAGCAGGCAGGGGCAGTCAGCTGTCACCAGTTTTAAAAATGTCACTGAATCAATGTCTGTGCCAATAAGGAGGTGCAGGGACCCAGAGAATATTGGCAGCCCGAAACCTGGAGGAGTGGCCCATCCCTGCTGTTCTACTCTGCTGGCCTGATCAGGGAGGGCAGGACGCATGTCCGGTTCACAGTGGATGGTTCCAACTTGGGACACTCAGGACTTTATGATGATGGGAGGTCACGGTTGGATCACAATCCCCAAGAAATGAGGCTCTGTGCCCTTTAGCCGGCAGCTACCTCACATAGGGATCCCCTGACTGGGAGACACACAAAGCGTTGGGTGTTGGGAGCCTCGGAGGCTGGTCCCAGTTCCATAGTCTGTTGGAGCTGGACCAGAGAACCTCTCGAAACATTTGAGCAGCCCCGCAAAAAGCCTCATGAGTTTAACTTCGTCTGTCTTAATTTGCCCATTGAGTCAGTGAAATCCCAGGCCAAATCCCGGGGGTATGTGAGGTGCACTGGCCCCCTTACCACGGGGCATTAAACGCAAGCAAAGCCAACTATTTATTGAAGGGCAGAGGTGGAGCCTGGGTTTGGGGCGGGAACAGGTGATTTTGACAATCTGGACAGAAGCTTCTTAAAGGACTGAGAAATCTGCTACTTGGTTGTCCAGGAAGTGCAACATCAAAACACAGCAAGTAGCAGATGGGCTCCTGCTTCTCAGTAAACTTAGGGTAACGCTTTTTCTGTTTGCTTTTAGAGTGGTTTAGGACAAGAGCTGGCAAGCCTGTCTGTGCTGCCACGGGAAGGGGGCAGGTGCTCCTTAGGAGAGAGGCACAAAAACTCTCTGTGGATGGTGGCATGTCTGGTGATCAAGTTTGCTCCAATGGCCAAGCCTTCCTCTTCCACAAAAGGATGCTCGGTGGCCGTGGTGATTTGGCCACGTTCTCCCCCCCCAAAGGGGGGGGACAGTCATCATTCTTAGAGGAACCGGGGCTTTTAAGCAATCGTCATTGTGTGTGCGCCATGTGGGTGCGTGTGCGAGTGTGTGTTCAACAGAGCAAAAGAAAAGTCACGAGGGAGAAGAGCAGGGAGATGAAGGTGTAGGACGTGGCCGAGCCTCCCAAGGTAGCTGCAGGCACCAAGCAACAGGTCCCCAGAGAGAAATGTGGTTGTTTAAAAACAAAGGTGGCAGTGGGGGATGTCCCAGTGACGTCCGAGGTGAGATGTGTGACGACAGACACAGGAAGGAAAGGGGAGGAGGGAAGGAAAGAGAAGGTAGAGACAGAAACGGGGGTGGGGGGTGGGCATGGGGGAGGAAATAGATAAAAAAAAGAAAAGAAAAGAAAAGAAAAAAATTAGGTCAAATATAGAGCACGCAAGATTCAAAGGTTAATTCAACGTAGCCAATGAAGCTGACACAGGTTAGGGGTAGGCAGGTGGGGGGGGGGGGGGGGTCAGTGCAATATTGTTACCATCAGGCCAGAAGCTCAGCAATGCCAGCAGCAGCACAGCGGGGTCAACCGGGGCGTGAGGGGCCAGCGAGCGGATGAAATTAAAGTGAGGGGACAGAAGCCTCTGCAGGAAGATCCGAGAGCTCGGTTAGGAGAGTGTTACCTGGGATAAGGTGAGGCCTCCTAGGTCCCAGGACACCTTTGCGGCTCCAGGGAGCAGTGGGGTACGCATCCCCCTGCACCATGGGGAGCAGGTCCTGGGGACCAACTTCTCAGTGAGAGACCCACCACGGCTTCCTGCTGTCCTCGGCCCATCCACGGAGCTGTCCGGAGGCCGTTTCTGCCTTTGTGCCCCTCACCTGCCATGGGGACTGACCACAGCACACCACCAGGAGCCAAACACCCCAAGAGTCACAGAGATCGTTCTTAGGTGCTGATACATCAACCGGCAAGCGCACCCCCCTCTTGGGCACCAGGGGCAAGGTCCAGAGAGCAGCCTGCCCAACCTGACATGGTCACTGGGCCACGGGGGATGTTACAAGGACTTGGCAGCGGGAACGGTTCCTCCAAACTCCTCTGACCAACACACAGCTACCCCCCACTTCCATCACCCCAGGAACAGAGGCACAGCCGGAAGTCCCAGCACATGTACGCGGCCTGTCGCAGTCTGCTGCCTCTAGGACCTCTCACCATAGAAGACAATGTCACAGGAGTCTGTCTTCCTGCAAAGACATTACTCACGCCCACCCCTCCCCACCTCCCAGTTCCCTGGCTCCCAACAGTCTTACACAAGCTGAGCAAATTAGGACACTCACACCAGGCTGTGGATTGACCCTGACCAGAGAACACAAACCAGTGAAAGGGCCAAGGTCAGGCCGATGCCTCCAGGGGGAACATTCTAGTAAACAACAGTGTGTAACCTGCGGGCAGTGCACTTCGCCTTCCTCCCTGACCCCCTGGCCAGAGCCTGCAGAGACAGCTGTGCCCACACAGCATGTGCCCAGGGCACCCTGACAAGCAGAACTGGCCAAAGTGATGCTTCTGATCTAGGTCTTTCAAGACACACCTGCCTGCTCCCCAGAGGGGCCCAGGCACCACAGATCCCAGACACACACACTCAGGCACCGCCATAAGGAACCACATGGAGCTTGTTCTGTCGCTGTGCTCGGTCACACATCCAACCCTGTGCCGGCAGCAGTCCTTGTCCTTGGGGGCCTCTTCCCCCTCCAGGAGATGCAAGCATCACTGAGCTGAGAGCCAGGAGAGCACTACTGACAGAAGCCACACCCAGAACAGCAGGCGATCGGAACATCTTCCTACAGTCCTTGGACACGACCGAGAGCTGATATGGGACTACTGTGCCAGGCTCGGCTACCTGTTCTGTTTCCCCCGCTCCAGCCTGTGGTTGACCTTTGGCGGGTCTGGGAAAGCAGAGATGTTGACAATCTCGCTCTGCCCTGAGGGACGGGGCCCACGAGGCACTTGCCCACCAGAAGCCAAGTGGCTGCCCCAGACCACAGGCTGCTCACCCTATTCCCGCTCTTGCATGGGGCCCAGGTGTCTGGAGATGGTTCTGCATCACCTAGGAGAGCCGCTTCCATCCCAGTCTCGAGCAGATGGGCGGCCTCTCATTGATGGGGCTTGCCATCATCAATTTTTTTTCTCCACTTGCTTTCATTTCAAGTGGTTAAATTTAATCGGGGCCGATCGGAGCTTTAAATAACGGGGCACCATCTCTTCCTTCCCAACAGAGAAGAGATTTGGACGGTGGTGGTGCAGGGAAGCAAAAGCATCGGACAGAAAGCGCTTAGAGACAGTTGTGGCCCTAGTATGGAATGGCAGGTGGCGGATAAGGTCTCATAAAGGAATCCTTACTCAGCCAGCTCCCAGGGCTCGGCTGGAGCAGGGGCTTTTCCCAAACTGGGGGGGTGGGGTCAGTCTCAAGAACTGATTCTACATCAGTCCTTCAGGGTCTGATGAATGCTATGGGACCCCTGCCCCAGGATGCTTGGCCAAGCCTTCCTGGGGTGGGGGTGGGGCGGCAGCTGGTACATCTGAACAGATAGGTACAAAGCAACACTAAGCTTTGCATGGGCAACCAATCATGAGGATGGCCGGAAGCAAGCAAGTTGTCAAGGGTTGTTCAGGCACATTAGGAGGGACAGCACTTTGCATTAATCCAAAGCTGGAAACTCACAGGAAGCAGAGGCGCTCATACCTGGGATGGCGGTGGGCTGGGCCGAGGTCCTGAACACAAAATGAGCTGCCTTAGACTTGCCCTGCTGGTTCTCAGCCACCACGTAGACCTCGTACTCTGCGTTCCAGTCCAGGGATTTGAGCATGACATGGTCGCTGCCCGACGGGAGCCTGATCTCTGGCTTCCACTCGGAGGACAGCATCTGGGAGAAACCGGCATGCAAGACAGGAGATACCAGAATATTTTATTTCTTTTTTTTGAAAAAATTTTTATTAGTGAAACACCATGAGATACAATTGTAGACTTACAAATTTTTGTGCTTGGGTTTCAGTTATACAGTGATGGAGTACCCATCCCTCCACCAGTCCCCATTCTCCACCATCAATGATCCCAATATCCCTACCACCCCCCAACCCCCCTATCCCACCCTGTCTCGCTGGCAGGACATTCCCTTTTGTTCTCTCTCTCCTTTTGGGTGCTGTGGTTTGCAAAAGAGACATTGAGTGGCAGTCATGTTCGGTCTGTAGTCTACTTTTAGCATGCATCTCCCATCCTGGGAGGATCCTCCCAACACCCTTTACTTGGTGCTCCCTTCTCTATCTGAGCTGCCTTTTCGCCTAGCATGTGTGGCTGGCCTCCAAGCCATGGAGTGAACCTCCTGGTACTTATCTCGGCTATTCTTTGGTGTTAGTCTCCTATTTTGTTACTTTGTATTCCCCACATGAATGCAATCTTCTTTCTATGTCTGTCCCTCTCTTAATGACTCATTTCACTTAGCATGATACTTTCCATGTAGTACCACTTGTATGTAGATTTCATGACTTCATCTTTGATACCAGAATATTTTAGAGGAAGATGCTGGGTAAGACCAGAGAATAGTAAGAGAATGTAATGGGAGCCGTTCACTGTAGGCACAAAGGTTTGACAAAATTTTTAAAAAGATTTCACTGGAGCCCGAACAATAGTGCACCAGGGATGGTACTTGCCATGGCCAACCCAGGTTCGATCCTCAGCACCACAGGTCCTCTTAGTCCTGCCAGGTATGATCCCTCGGCACAGAGCCAGGAGTAAGCCCTGAGCACATCCAGGTATGGTTCCCAAGCAAAAACAAGCAAAAAGAGATGATAGAACAAAGTCTTTGCTCTTTGCCAGCTTGTGAGCCCCTGAGTCACAGAGAACAGGAGCCAACCCAGTGTGTTTTGCAACTGCAAAGAGCAGCAGATGCCAATGTGGCAAGGGGTGAACTCTCCGGTATCCAGCCAGACTTGGGCAGGCAAGGACTTCAGCACCCATCCTGCCCCTCCAAGCAACAGTCTGAAATGCTTGACACATTCATAGATGAGTTTCTGAGTTGAGTAATAGAAGGACTGTTTCTTGGCTAATTCAGAATGAGGTTCACATTCCGGTGTGTGACTCATGCTCCCACATGAGCAAAGCACCCAGTGGTATCAAAAAGAAAAGTTTCATTTACTGAGCACTTACTATGTGCCAGGCCCTCAACCAAAGGCTTTCGACACCTTTTCTCCCATAGGCCCCACTCCAACCCCGTGAGGGTTCTGTCAATTCCTTATTAAACCTGGTGACTGGAAAGAGAGAGGTTAGGAGACTTGCTAAGTCACACTGGTGGACAGGGCCAAGTGGATTCTGTGATCTTTCCTCATCAACAAGGGAAACACAACATGCATTTGGGGAATGGAACTGGGTTTCCCGTTCCAAGCTGGGAAACCGTCATGGTTTCTACAACCAGAGAGGGAGAAGGCTCAGGGGCAAAGTCTGCGGGCGAGTCCAGCTCAGGCTCTCAGAATGCTGCCTCGGGCAGGGCCAGCTTCTAACGGATCAGCAGCTGGACATGATTTAGAGCTGGAGTTTTGGTGCCGCCTTTTTCTCTCTGACAGTTCTTTCTAGATCTTTCCTCTACAGTTGCAGCGAGTCTGTTCTGGGGTGAGTTTATGCAGACAGGATTAGATAATGGTTGTGGAAGGAGGTCTAAGGCTTTCTGATATATCTTCAGATGGTTTGAGGAGCATAGAAAGATCCTCCTGTCCTCAATCATTGACCTGAGTGTGACTGGGCACCTTCTGAGGAGCAGGACACATAGGCAAGGACTCAGTCAGGGGTTCGTCAGGGGCTGAGGGTGGAGGAAGACCAGTCTCGCTGTCAAGCCAGCTGCTTCCCAGAGAAAATAAGACATGCTCTTAGGACTATGCTCAGCCCTGTATCCTGCCTTTGTCGACTGTGGGGACAGGAGGAGGAGGAGGAGGGCTCAAGTCCTGAGCATCTTCCATTCCAGGCCAACATTATTACGAAAGAGGACGAGAATACAAGTAAATACTCAGTAATGCAAATGTTATATGACATTATTACAGAAGGCAGGGCAAGCGTACAAGTACATACTCAGTAACACAAATCTTATATGACACATAGGAACAATAAATATTTAGTAACCTTTAAGTTTTTTTTGACAGGGGAGAAGGATTTGGGTCATACTCTGGAGCTCAGTCAGGGCTTCCTCCTGGCCCTGTGCTCAGGGTTCATGTTCATTCCTGTTTTTTTTTTTTCCACTTGTTTGTTCTGTTTTGTTTTTGTTGCCTCTACCAGCAGTGCTCAGGGCTGACAGCTGGCTCTGCACTCAGGGATCTCTTCCAATGGAGGCGAGGAGGGAACCGCATGGGGTATGGGGGCTCAAAACCAGGTCAGCTGCATGCAAGGCCAGTACCCTACGCACTGCACTATCTCTCCAGTCCCAAAGGCTAGTTGGTTTGATCACTTCCCAAGAACTCATTGCCATGGGTGGATGGGGGACTTTCCCTATCAGCCTGCTGCCTGCTTTAATCAGATCACTAGGGCCAATTGCTGAGAGATGCAGAGCACTAGGAACAGCTTCTTGCTAGGCTCCTTGACTTGTTTTTGTTTCGGGGCCCCATGCAAGTGATGCTCGAAGTTGCTCCCAGCGCTGCCCAGGGGACCAGGGATGCAAGATCAAACCAGGACCTCCCACATGGGGACTTAACCTGCAGGGTACTCTTGCTAGGCTTTCTAACAATGGGAGAATAAAGAACTGGAGAATGGTTATTGTTCTTCAAATAGCTTCCAACAAAGTCTTCTCTGGGGAACCTCTGACTCCTGCCCTCTTTGCCACTGGATCAGCCCCTCTCCCTGCCACCATTCCCCCACCTCCCTTGGCCACTGAAGTGAGTCATGAGCCTTCCCTGGTTGGGTCTGCAGAGCCATGCAACCCTGAGCCCCACCAGCAACTCTGAGCCCCAGCCGCAACCCTGAACCCCACCAGCAACCCTGAGCCCCACCAGCAAGCTTCTCAGCTTTCCCTCACACCTACCCTCCTCACTCCTCCCTCCTCACCATGGCCTCTTTCCTACCTTACTGCAAAATGGGGTGGGGGATGGGAGGGTGGGAGGGGTTAGCCTCATCCCAGTAAAGGCGACTCCACTGATTTCCCTCTGCCTGTGAGGGACCATGGGGGAATTCTTGACTCTGGACTAGGTGCCCCGCCTAGCCTGGGCGGTGTGGTAGGGAGAGGTGCCCAGACAGATATAGATCCGATTCCAGCTGAACCTCTTACCAGAGTGGGACCCCAATAGGTCAGTCACTCTGGCAAAGCCTCTGTCTCTCCAGTTCTCAGGTGGGAGAAACAGCTTGCGGAAGTGACATCCATATTAGCTGTGCTAGATGCAGCCTCTGAACCTGTGTGTGCGGGAGCTGAGCGTCACTGTGCAGATGCAGGTGATGGCTGAGTGCCTCCCGCAGGCTCCTGCTCAGAGGTCCCTTTTGCAAATGAACTCTCTTATGGCTATGACAGGCAGGCCCGTGTCCAAAAGACAAGGGGGCCAGATACGGGGATGTTACGTCTCAACAACATTCTCATGCTCTCTCTTCCAATGGTGGCTAGTGAGGGGCCAGAGAGATAGGACAAGGGCTTAGACACTTGCCATGCAAGCAGCTGACCCTAGTTCGATCCTTGGCACCAACCACACAAGGTTCCCTGAGCCCAACCAGAAGTGACCCCTGAGTGTAGAACTAGGAGTAAGCACTGTTGGGTGTGGCCCAAATGAAAGCAAAACAAACAAACAAATGAAAACCCCAACTAGCCCTAAGTCTTCCTGGAGCTGCCTTGGGGACACAAGATCTTAAAGGTCTGGAAAGACCTTTCTCTGGTGTCAGCACAGATGCAGATAAGGCTGGATCTCTCTCACAGAGAAGCTCCAGCGGGAACAAAGGCCAGGAAAGGAAGGTCAAATAGGACCAACAACTGCTCCCAACTCTCCCCATTGGCAAGCACCCTAGCAAAGAACTCCTGGGAAAGACCACTCTTGGGCAGCTTGGGAAAGACCCTAAGAGGTCAACTTGGATCAAAGGAGGCACATGCATGCACTGCCCAAGCATATGTGTCACCCAGGTACATGTGTTGTCCCTGGCCCATGGTGCCTAAGCACATGCCACCCGCATCTCCCCTTCTAAGATGTGGGCTTTCAGATCTAATGCTGGGCAGTGTACCAGGGCTCTCTCTGCCTTTGGAGAAGCCCACATTCCTTCTTCTTCTTCTCTCTCTCTTTTTTTTAATTTTAAGAATTTTGGGTCACACCCGGCAATACACAGGGGTTACTCCTGGCTCTGCACTCAGGAATTACTCCTGGCAGTGCTTGAGGGATCTTAAGGGATGCTGGGAATCGAACCCGGGTCGGCTGCGTGCAAGGCAAACACCCTACCCGCTGTGCTATCCCTCAGCCCCAACCGCGTTCCTTCTTGAGCATGTTATTTTCTCTCTCTTTCCAATCTCTCTCTCCCATTCCTCAGAATCCTTAAATAAAAGTTCTTTAACTTCACTGCTTGTCTCCCACCAAAAATTCTTTTTCTGTAAGAGAAAGACATTAGAGCCGAGAGGCCTGGGAAAGGGCTAGGACTGACTGACTTTCTTTTCCTGCAAAGAGCAAGGCTCACAGCCGACTCTTAATCAGTCTTCGATTTCCCCCAGTTGTTCCCGGGGTGGTAGGAGTGGGTAGAGAAAAAGCTGGAGATTTCCTTCTTGAGGCCGCCACTTCTCTCCTCCCCACTTCACGTAAGTCACTGGGAACCCCCACAGGCATCTTGGTCAATTATCAAAGCCCCAAGCAGAGAGGGTGGTTGCTATTACGTGGGCTGGGGATTAAAGCAGAGGGGCTGACCTGAGATGGGCGGTGAGGAGACCTGGAAGGCAGGTTTAGGACCAAGCTCACAGTTATTAGCAAGATTAGAATGGTTTGCGGGGAGGGTTCAGGGAACCAGCCTAGTTTAGGACTTGAAAGCAAAACCTAGGCACCCAGTGCTTGCGGCCAGACAGACCTGTGATCAAACTCTGGCACAAGAGAGGGGACAGCTAGAGCTCGGGATGAGGTTTCAAAACAGCCTCTGGCTTTCTCTCTCAAGCCAGCGTTCTCTCTGGAACTCAATCTCTCTCTTTCTGCTTTTCCCACTCTGGAGAAGACTGTATTCTCTCCCAAACATGTAGTCTTCTCCCCTCATACCTTTCTCTCCTTTCTTTCTTTCTTTCTTTCTTTCTTTCTTTCTTTCTTTCTTTCTTTCTTTCTTTTTTTGGCTTTTTGGGTCACACCCAGCGATGCACAGGGGTTACTCCTGGCTCTGCACTCAGGAATGACTCCTGGCGGTGCTCAGGGGACCATATGGGATGCTGGGAATCAAACCTGGGTTGGCTATGTGCAAGGCAAACATCCTACCTGCTGTACTCTTACTCCAGCCCCCTCATACCTTTCTAAGTAAATTTAAAGTAAATTTCATTCAATAAAAACTTTTTTTTTGCTTCACTAAATAAACAACAATAACCAAAAACAGTGATTGAAGGATAAGGCCTTACCAACACCCTGACCAGGGCCCTACCCCACCGGACTTTGCCTGTCACTCCCCAAGGAAGATGGGGTGTGATCAGCCAGGGGAAATACTCACCGCTCGGTACTTGACCAGGTAGTGTCTGATGGGTGAGCCACCATCATCCTGCTTGATCAGGTTCACCTTAATGCTGTTCCCGTCTTCTCCCATCTGCCCTTCCAGCTTCGGTGCACTTGGCTCTCCTGAAACAGCCAGTGAAATATTGAAATACTTCACATGAAATATTTTGTGAGCATGGGGGTGGCACGATGGGCGAAGGGATGGGCTCTTTGCTCGCTTTCTCAGAAATGCAAACAGTTAAAGAGCAATGACTATAAAACTTGGAATTCTGGTGGGTGGCTTGAGACGGTGCCCAAAGTGACAGGCTCTTGGGAGTCTTTGAATGAGCTCTCCTCTTAGACCTGTTCTTTTGCCAGTTTATAAATAAGTTCCAGGCGGCCCTCTCATCAGTGCTTGCATTTCCTTGGAGCTGTTCTGACAAAGTGCAGCTTTCACTGTGATGCATTTTGAGGCATCACCTTAAATAGGGGCAAATGGACATGTTTAAGACAAGTCACACCCATCAAATAAATGCGCTTCCTTGTGGATTTGTTTCATTCCCAGGGTCTGATCTCTTGTGGGAATGGAATGAGGCTGCATTCTTGTGACCGGTTTTTCACAACTTAAAAATTTTCTTAGAATTAAAAGATATTTAAAAAACAACATTCCCTCCAGAAGAATTAATTTTAAAATCCTCCAAAAGACCAAGTTTCCAATTGTGATGAAATAGAGCACAATTTAAAATGAGCAAGTTTCCTGGAAATGCCTGAGTGTCAGCCCTTGGCACCTCACATTCCAGGAACAAGTATGAGAGTCTTTTTCTTTGGGATGAGCGAGAAGGGTGGAAATGACCCCTGCATGTCTCAACAGAGAGAAGTCGGTGCTTCTCTCTGCAGTATATGCTCAGCCTGGTGAGCTGCATCCCAGGTCGAGAAGGAAGATGAACCCCCACGAGCCCAACTACTCAGGCTGGACCACTCTTCTGTCACTGATGCTGACATGAAAAACAAATTCACTCATCTAGGCTGACAGCAGTGGGGGTTTCTGGGGGAGGGGGAGCATCTGAGAGAGGAGGCAGAAGCTGTGACACACTGGGGAGATGTAGTTCCTGGGGCCCCATCCCTGTGTGTATGTTATCACCTCAGACAGAGCAGGTGCAGAGCTGAGAAACCGTCCCCTCAGGGCTGGGTCACCCTGACTGTTTCTCTGGAAGATGGAAATCACAGACGTGTGATTGGAGAGCCAGGGAAGGCCATCACCAGTTTAGCCGAGCCCCGCAAAGTGTGCTTTGAACCCATTACCAGAAGGTTGTCGACAAAGCTAAGCAAGCCCCTCCTCATTGAGCTACAAGTTTCAACCCCCATGATGGGAGAGAATGTTCCTATTCGATATGAATTGGGAGGTGATTTGGTGAAGGATGGGGAACACACATTGCCCCTGTGAATCAATAACCATGGTATTTCCAGACCCCCAAAGAACTTAGTAAATCAAACCAAACAGGACTGTCTTGATTTTGGATGGTGGGGAGAAGTCTGTACTTCGGATGTCTCAAAATGGCCCAAGGGTCCTGCTTCTCCCTTTGAGACATGGAGAAGCAGGAGGCAGAGAGAGAAGCGAAGCCACCAGCCACTCAGCCTGGCCAGTAGCACCCTGGGAGCTCACTAGAAACGCAGCCACACTTGGGGACAAGATGCCAGAGTCAGTCCTCTGCATGGGATTTCAGGTTGGAGACTTGGTGATGGGGACCACATAGAAGCTGCAACAGGATGAATGCATAGTCCTCGTGTCTGAGGGAGAAAGGATTTCAACAGGATGCTGTGCTTGCCATTTGTCTCCCATCCTCAGTTAAGGGAAACATAAAAATAAAAAGCTAAATAGCGCTTCAGGCAAAGTCCTATTCAGTTTTCACGTTCCAGTCTGCCACTGACCCCAAAGACTCAGTAGAAACAACTTTGAACTTTGCTTTTGATCATTACATGATTTTCTTCCGGTCCAACCTCTTTGGGGAAGGAATCTGAATGGTCTGAGTTAACAGCTGAGTTCCGTCCTCCATTTTGACCTATGCATGTCTCTATCGTCACGAACGCCCACTGCTAGAAAGAGACTCATAGCAGACTTTATGTGAGAGTGGGCAGGACGTCTGCACAGATATACCCATGCTGCTCAGCTAAATGTCTCAAATGCTACTGTCCGGCTGTGTGAGGATGACCGGCTCTTCCCAGAGAGCCCATAGTGCTCTGGTTGCCAGATCCACAAGTCCTGCACTTGGGAAAGTCCTCAGCCTCAGAACAGCTGGCTAGACGTGAGTTGTGGCCGCTCTCTGCACACAGCACTGAAACCTGAGCCTTTGATGGCTGGTCTGTGCTGTAAGGAGGTGCTCCTCATCCAGAGAGAAAGAGAGAGAGTGGGTCTGCCAACAAACATGCCAGGAAAGGACACAGCCTCTTCCCACGGCCACCTCGGCAAGCAAAAGGTGCACCCCTGGGCTGATCTCTGCACCCTTTAGATTTTCTCAATTTGAGTAGTGTGAGTTTCCAAGGCTAAATTAATACCCCAAGTACTAAATCCTGTTTTGATGAAGGAATGTCTTTTATCTGGGGGGAGGTTTGAGGAATACCTAGAAGTGCTCAGAGGCTACTCTTGACTCTGTGCTCAGGAGTAATACCTGTTAGTTCTCAGGTGACCATATGTGGTGCCAGGGATCACCACGGCCAGTAGTATGCTAGGTAAATGTCTTAACCACTGTACTATCTCTCCCGCCCAAAGGGGTCTTTATTAAGAGGTGTGCTATAATGTTTGTGACCGTCCTTTAAAACTAGGTACTAGGAGGTCCAGGGGTCTGTGACTTGGGAGAGGTGACGATCACAGATTCCCCAAGTACCAGATGCTCTCTGGAGACCAGCAGCTCTGGGATTCCTGCTCCATGTCACTGTGGAACAGAGCAGACTCTGCAGACACCAGGATGCCTATTCTTTGATTCCCTGCATCCCATATGGCTTCCTGCACCCCACCAGAAGTAATTCCTGAGTGCAGAGTCAAGAGTAACCCCTGAGCATCATTGAGTGTGGCCCCCAAACAAAAACAAAGAATGTCCCGCTCTCTTTGGGACACTGAAAGAACGCAAAATAGAGGACACTGAGCCAGTTCCAGGGAGATGTGCCCCAAGAGCAAAACTTCCTCTGACTATATGTATATATTCATTTCTCAGAGAATTTAGAGCACCGTGTATCACATAATATTCAGACATATCATGTACAGTGTTTTATGTGCGTGTGTGTGTGTTCATTTAACAAAGGCGTACTGATAAGTATCTTGTAGTCAGGCATTGGAATTTCAACTGCAAACAAGACATAGATTTGTTTGCCAAATAAATAAACTTTGTGTTGGGGCAGGGGGCTGGCGCAAGTGACTGGAGCAAAGGCCTTACATGTGGAAGCCCTGAGTTTGATCCCTGGCAGTGACCCCTGAACACTGAGCCAGGAATCACTCGGTATGGCCCAAACTTCAAACAAACTAAACCTTACTTGTAATCAATTCCTTGAAAGAATTGTGGAGCCCCTGGAAAGACATCAGCTTTCCCATGACATTTCAAAAGAAATATCATATATGACTATGGAGAGTCTTATCAAGTTTGTGGCCGGGTAACTAGCTCTAATTCTACAAAGACATGGAAAAGGCAGTACTTGCTTATTTGCTTAATCAACTGTCTTATTTATCTTCAAATATAGACTATGTGCCAAATTCTTATAGAGATAAGGTGTAAAAAAGGCTTCCTGAGCTCTTGTGAAAAGAAGATTCAAGATATATTTGCAGAGGGAGGGACTGATGCTAAAGAAATGGGTCCTGGCATATGGGGTGGGGGGTGGGGGTGGGGACTTCTTTACAGAATGCATTAGGAAAGGAAATTATTTAGAGGATCCCAATGGGCACTCTGTTTTGAAATGGCTGCTCTGATTGAAATCATTATGGGCAATTTCAGCAAAACCAATATTGTAATTATTCGTAAATGTTGGTTTGCAATTCAGTAGCAAATCTGCAGGTTGCTCCAAGTAAACCCCTGGGGTTAATTATCCCCTCTGAGTTTAGTTTCAGCCTTGAGTCCAATTCTACCTCCTCCCCAAATATTTGATGTGAAGACTAAGACAGCTGTACTGTAAGAACAAACCTTACTAATGCTAATAAAAAAATATGAAGCATGAGGTGGAAATTTCGAGAAAAAAGGTAAATTTTGTGTGCAAGAATAAAAACTAGCTCTACCCTAGTCAGAGCTATTAAGGTAGGTCCTTCCTATAAAATTTCCCTGAAAAACTGCAGTTGGAATGGATGTGTTCTAGGCTGTTCTTTATAATCATGGTGCCCTAACACGGGGGTCAGCTTCATGTCCACCGTCACTTGGTAGAATCCCTCCATTCAGAAATGATCGTGGGTTGGGATTTGAATTCCAGACAAAAATGAATCCAGGATATTCAGGCAACATTTGGGAATTTCAGAAGGAGATTGATAATCTTATTGCTCACCCCAAAAGACAAAATCCAAGGGTTCTGTCTTCTAAATGAAATGTAGTGTCAATTGGCACCCTGGGCAGGCTAAGCTGGGTTCTACCTTCATCTACTAACCATAGGGTTCCGTAGGTAAGATGAACCAATGATGGTTATATGTCTGCAACACGATTTTGATTGATTGACTGATTTGATTTGGGGGCCACATCTGGGTAAGCTTGGGGCTTCTCCTGGCTCTGTACTTTGGGATCATTCCTGGCAGTGCTTGGGGGACCATATGCAGTACAGAGCTCAAATTGGGTTTGGCCATGTGCAAGGCCTTACCTCCCTGTACTATTTTTCTCCAACACTGTATTAGAATATTTTATCTTTTTTTTGACTGGGGGATAAGAGACACTCCTGGTGGTTCTTGGAGAAAACACACAGGACCAGTGATCAAACCTAGACCTCCTACCAGCAAAGCAAGTCCTCTTGGCCCTTTGGACCATCTCCCTGGTCCTAGAAGCTTTTATTGTAATATTTATCAGATAGCTTTGTCCAGCTTTGAAAATACTTTCTACATCATTCTAATAGCTATTTCATATAATGTGAAAGTTGTGTACACCTTTTTATCACGTGCTTCAAGAAGTCCAGAGTATTTAATT